TAAAAGAGAATAAAATCAGGGCATTTGCAAGTAAATGGAGTTGGAGTTTATTATGCTAAGTGAAGTCAGCCAATCCCAAAAAAACCAATAGCCAAATGTTTTCTCTAATATAAGGAGGCTGATTCATAAAGGGGATGAGACGGGCAGCGAGGGAGGATTAGCCAAACTCTAGATAAGGCAAGGGGAGGGAGGGGAAGGGGAGGAATGGGGTTAGGAAAGACAGTAGAATGAGATGGACACCATTACCCTAAGTACAGGTACGGATGCTGTGACTCTACTTTGTGTACAACCAGAGACATGAAAAATCGTGCTCTATTTGTGTACTATGAATTGAATTGCATTCTGCTGTCATATATAACAAATTAGAATAAAAAAAATAACGTGGGAGCCTATGAAATCCTCGGAAAAAGGTTTTAAGAAAAAAAAAAAAAACAACTTGGGCTGGGGTTGTGGCTCCGTGGCAGAGCATTTGTCTAGCACCTGTGAAGAGGCTCTGGTCTCAATCCTCAGCACCACATAAAAATAAACCAATAAAATAAGGCGTTCTGTCCATCTACAACTAAAAAAATATATTTTAAAAAGAAGAAAAGAAAAAGAAAATGTGCATATTTGGGATCTTTCCGTTTTTCTTCCCTGTGCCCTTCTGGAGAGAAGAGAAAGCCATTTAGAGAGGAACGTCATAAGGAAGAATCCTAGAATGCAAGAAAAGAAAAAACACGTGTGTCCCCCAGCCACTTGCATTTAAAGTGACACCCAGGGTCGGGGTCTCAAGACGGGCAGGGGAGGCGGTGTCCCACACAGCGCCAGCCTGGCCGCCTTCCCCCAGGAAGCTGAGGTGCTTTGCGGCTGAGGGTGAACTCGCAGAAGCCCCGGGCCTGGCCAGAGGTCCCACTATAGGACCTGAGTCATGGTTGTGCCTTGGGAAGTCACCAGGGACCGCAGGTGAGGGCTCCTTGGGACCCTCGCGGCGGAGCCACAAATAGCTCCTCACTCGCACACTCGGGGATTTAAAAACGCCGTCTCCCCCCTTTCCCCTTCAGAGTTCCCCACCCCGACGGGTGGCTCCCTGGAGGGAGTCCCTGATACTGAGGGTCCCCTCGTAGGTGGCCATGGGAGGTGACCAAGATCCCCTCTGTCCCACAGACAGGTCCCAAGATCTGACCTTTATCCTGATGATCCATGAGACTTGGCCCAACTCTCCAGGGACTCCAGTGGCAGCCGCAGACAGGACAGTGCAGGTCCCCAGGGGAAGCGGATCCCAGACTATGGGGAGGCGCCGTCTCATCCCGCGCCAGGGCATTGCGCACTCCAGCATGGACCGACAGTACGCCAGAGGCGCAAGGCGTCAGCATGATGGTCGCTGGTCAAGGAACGGGAGGAGGAGGAGGAGGACTCAGAACCTGATTTTCCGGGCCCAGAGGGAAACCAAACTCCAAATTCTGAGCCCGGATCCACAGTTTTCCACAATAAAGATGCGCAGAAGGTGCAGCTGGTGCTCCAAGCTCCAAGGGCTGGGGGAGAAAAGTACCCAGGACCAGCTGCCTCAAGTCACGGTATTTGTCTCATAGTTCTGGGGTCAGAAGGCCACAACCCAGGTGTCCTCAGGGCCAGCCCCCTGCGACTTGTGGGAGGAGCTCCCTGGCCTCCTTCGCCTGCAGGGGGATGGCCAGGATTCCAGGGTCTGGCAGGAGCCGTGTCCTCCCGCTCAGCCCCATCTCCACGGGGCCTCTCCCTGCCCACGTCTGGGTGCCTATGTCCCCCTCTGGGAGGTCACCAGTCACACTGCATTGGGCCCACCCTGATGGCTTTGCTTGCTTGATTGCCACTATAGAG